GGGCTCAGAGGAGCAGTCACGGCGCTCCCTGGCACCTACTGAGAGACAGGTGCAGCTGCCCCAGCCCCTCTAATAGCTGAGGACCGGCTAGAACACAAGGGGACTTGTCTCTTACCAAGTTTGTCTCTTCCTTACCCATGCCTACCCCCTTCCCTTCATGCAACAGAATCTTAAAACACTTTCCCCCCACCCCTCCCTTCTTCCTGGGCTAAACTTTATTCCTGATTTCTCTACCTCCTCCCCACCATCAGTGCAGGAGGAAAAAGGAATAGGGCACTGCAGTTCATCACACGTTGTCTCTGCTGCTCCTTCCTCCTCAGGGAGATGACTCCTCACACTCTTCCCCTGATCCAGTGTGGGGTCCCTCCCACAGGAAGCAGTAACCCATGAACTTCTCCAATGTGAGCCCTTCCCATGGGCTGCAGTTCTTCACAAACTGCTCCAGTGTGGGCCCTTTCCACAGGGTGTAGTCCTTCAGGGACAGACTGCTCCAGCATAGGTCCAAGAGTCCTAAGTCCTGTCAGGAGATCTGCTCCAGTGTGGGTTTCTCTTTCTCCACAGGGCCACAAGTCTTGCCAAGAGCCTTCTCCAGTGTGGGCTTCCCACAGGGTCGCAGCCTCCTTTGGGCATCCGCTTGATTTGGCATGGAGTCCTCCACAGGCTGCAGGTGGGGATCTGCTCCATCATTAATCTCCATGGGCAGCAGGGGACAGCCTGCCTCACCATGGTCTTCACCACAGGCTGCAGGGGAATCTGTGCTTCGGCACCTGGAGCACCTCCTCCCCCTCCTTCACTGACCTTGGTGCATGCAAGAGCTGTTTCTCTCACATATTCTCATTCCTCTTTCCAGCTGCAGTTATGCAGTTTTAGGGTTTTTTTTTTTCCTCCTTAAATATGTTATCACAGAGGCACTACCAGCACCTCTGATGGGCTCAGCCTTAGCCAGCAGTGGGTCTATCTTGCAGCCAGCTGGCATCGGGTCTCTCATACATAGGGGAAGCTTCTAGCAGAAGCCATTCCTGCAGTCCCCCTGCTACCAAAACCAATAGAGCAAGGTTGAAGGTAACCCATTTTCTCTAAGAGAGGATGCTCAGGGCTTTGTCAGAGCACTAGCCCGAAGGATCCCATCCTGCATGCCCAAGATGCACACACATGGGCCTGAATCTGAATCTGTTCCGACACATTTTTAAAGAAAACTTTAAGACAGACTAATCCATCCTTCTGCACTAAGGTCACTTAAGTAATAAAATTGCAAGTATCTGGAGCTTCACTTTCATTGCTTCTATAAAACAGCCTTATGCAATCTTTGTGACAATTTATTTCTCCACATTATTTCCAAGAGAGAATGCATTATGCATTAGGAGGAAGAAGGCTAAGAGGGTTTTTCCAAGGTTCTTTTTGTTCTTCATTTTCCATCCTTGACAAGGCTACAACATTAACTGCCATTTTTATCTTCCACCCTGCTGAGACCAACTTTTAATCTTTTAATGTGGAAAAAACAAGAGAACTAATTACTTCCTGGTTAAAGACATTTGAATGGATTTTTTTTTCCTGTTACAAGCTTCATTACATAAAATAACTGAAGACTATGCTTTTACCATTTTAAGACATTCTGGGGAGACACTGAAATAATCATGAAAACTTCAAATAAAATATCATAAAGCATAATTATAAGCAGGTTTCAGCAGCCACTGGTTAAGATCCAGAGTTACAGACTAAGCTTACCTGAAAAGATTAATGTGGATACATAGTCTGACTGTATTTCTTAAAGTAGACTTATGCTCTTTGAAAATGGTACTGGAATCCTATAAGGTTGAGCTGATACAAGTGAATCCAATGCTGTTTGGGTGTCATTTTCAAGATCGTTCATTACAAATTTTTATAAATAACTTCATATGCTGGCTGAATTTTCCATACATTATAAGAAGATGGATCTTAACGTAAATATTTGAGAAAAACTGAAACATTGCAAAAGACTGCACAGGGAATCTTACAGTGTTAAACAGGGCATGTTAAGAGATCTGAAGGTAAATTGTACATCTAGATTGAATGTAGTTTATTGTAGTATACACAAGCTTTACACAGGCTCTGAAGAACTACAGTATCTTAGACTGTAGTGATTTCTTTCTGCTTTCTACCTTTGGAGAATGATAGAGCTGGATTTATTTTACTATTTTTAAAGTAGGATGAGAGGTTCTGAGGATTTTCCATCTGATGACATCAGTGGAGTATATGGATTTAAGAGAATGGTTCAAGTATTGGTTACATAATTCTTGTTATAATGTTATTCCAGGTTAGGAAAATCCACTTCTGATTGGAATAAAATCCAATTATTTTTATTATGTCAGAATTTCTGTAGAAAGGCCCATTTTATTACTATAAAATTAGGAAATACAGTGTCTCAGCAAAGCAAATAATTGCATGAGTTATCTGAGGAGTGCTGATAAACTTTTAATTGCAGACACAAGTGCAATTTGTGGTAACCGACATCATCAGCCAAAGCAAACTTAAAATTTTAAAATAATAAAATTGTGGCCTCAGTATTGTAATAAACGTAACCAATGAATTTGATTGAACAGGAAAAAAAAGAAATCTTTGACCAGGATTTAAAAAATAATTGCTTCTTTTTTGAATGAAAATGAAGCATTTTGAGACTGATTGCCAGTCTCAGCACAAATTCTAACACTGCATTCAATAACATTCTACATTCAATGAAAACATGAATACTGAAAACCATCCAATGACACAGTTCCAGTAATGAACTGCTTAGTTTTCATGGTCCCCAAGTTCTCTGAAGGTCACAGTCTAGCAAGTATATTCAGATTAGACTAGCATTCAGAAACAGGATTGCATCTACCATAAAACACAATCGCTTTTTTAAAATAAAATCCATGTGACTGAAGGAGAAAGCTTACCTTTTACATACCCTAGTTATTGTGCTCACTTGAAGCAAGAAACTCAGATTCCATGCTTATTCAATCCGTAAGAGATTCAACCTAAATCTGTGACTCCCAGCCTGCAGGAGACATATGCACTCCCTCATGGAGTTTGTGCTATTATGAAAATGAAGACTTTTCAAATTCCTTGTCAATGGAGGAAACAGAAAAAGAAACAACTCTGTGGCCCACTGTTAAAGTGCTTATTGACAAATAGGCTATAGTTTCAATGAGCAATTCACAATTTTATGTTTATCAGTTGCTGGGGGAAAAAATGCATGAGTTATGGATTATTACATAAACAAATAGTAGTCTGGTTTTAAAATGATTCTCTGTTCTTTTAAAGAATGCCTGTGAACTCAGCCCAGTTTATAAATAAGGAAAAACTCATCTGTAAGCATTTTCACTCAGCAAGAGTATTCTGAGAAAGAAGTGAATGAATATTACTGTCAAGCCCCGAGAGCGTCTTGTGAAGGTGTGCAGTGGCTTTCTAGGTGGTCACTCCAAAAAGTCAGTCTCTCTGTAAGTGTTATGTATGATAACCAATGTCGTTCCATCCTGTTAGCACTCTGAAAGTTTCAATAAAGCAGTTCATTGTACTTGAGACCTTCAGAATTGGCAGCTTGGGGTCAATGACTGTTAGTGTGTCTTCTGTCTAAGAGCTGTTACTAGACTAGGAAATTAAGGACAAAGAGGGGGGAAATCTCCACTTTTGTCATATCCATATTGACACTTTTGTCATATCCATATGAGAATACATGGCAAAGTGGAGGAAGCAGAGAATTATGATTTACCTGAAGAAAGTATGGTGCTCCACACAAACCTTCCATAACCTTTTAGCAGCCCGATGGTTTGGCAGCTTGAACCCAATAGTGCTCTCAAACTGTTCCAGCTGGAAAGAATCCACAAATAAATTAACCCAATTTTTTAAGCTGGCTATAAACTAGCAGGCAGAGTTCGGATAGTTCCATTACTGTAACAAGATGTAATTCTCTTGTCATAAGAATTCATAAAATTATTTTTTAAAAGAGCAACAAAAAATTGGGATTTGCAGCCTCTTAATAAAATTCTACTTGTTAGTATAGCCATAATGGGTAATAATTACATTATTACTTCCTATCTGTACCAATGAGACTTTTGAGAAACTCAGTAATACTTCAGTGTTCCTTGCTGGTTTTCTGTCTGGCTGCCCAACATATTTATTTCTAAATGGCCTGAAGTAATTGTACTGCAAGTTGTGCTGCACATTTTCCTTGGATTAGAAATCTGAAATCCACACTGCAGTGTTAAGCTTACCAATCTGTTTCACTATATAATAGTTTCTTAGAAAAATTATTACAACTATTGCAATACTAGTATTGCACTATTGGTACTTAGACATCTACTTTATTTATTCACATAGTAAAAGCTACCTTAAACATTTTAGAGTATCATCTAAAGAAAGGCATTACAGTGTGTGACTTCTTGGGTTTTGTTAAATTTTCATTTACAATGTGTTCAAAACATAAACCCTCCCTCCTTCAGCAACTTACACAAACTTGTAACAGTATCTGAAAAGAAAGCTGAGTCAACTATTTCCACAGCAGCCAACAGAGTCACAACATCCTAGGGGACAACTCAAGCCTTTGGTTATAGTCGCAGACTAGATGTGTTGACATTTAGTGAACACTTAGACCCAAAACTGAAGAGAAGCTGTCTGTCTTCCAGGACTGCAAGTTTGTATAGACAGCAAAAACATGGCCAGTGTAACTGACATTCCTTCTACGAAAAAATAAAATTACAAGATGGCATTTATTAACGAAAGAAAATACATTTTCTTCCTTGTTTGCATCTACTAATCAAGGCAAGTGTTTAATACAATCAGTAGAATCTGAACAGGAAATGAAAATTCTCTTAGGTTCTCCTCAAACCCAGCATAAGCCTGTGAGGACATCTGGGAAAAAAAAAAGGAGGATGTTTCCTTGTTGCTGGATAGAAATGATCTCACAAAAGAAACAAGACAGAAAGGTGCTACTTACTTCTGCTGGCCTGACTTTGATGTAGAAGTTACTTCGCTTATAGGAAATCTTGAGAATTTTTGGCCAAGCGAAGCGGTTGATCCGAAGTCTGTCTTTGTAAATGAGCAGTCCATTAGCACATACACCCAACATGATATCCACACCTTCAGAATCCTATCACGTATGAGACAATTTCATAAAAATCAGTCTGACAACATTCCAAACAAGTAATTATCACTGGCATACCTTGAGGGACTGAGCAGCTGGGACTTATTTTATATTCAAACCTGAAAGACTCGGACAATGTGATTCTTAAAGCAGACATAGACAAGTATATTCATTTTATAGGAAAGGCTTTGGACTCCAAGTAATGGCTTTGGCACTTGTATGCCATTGCATATGCCACAGTTCTGGGAAATTCTTCAATGTTCTGGCAACAGGGGCTAAATCAACAACTTACAAGCATGACAGGTACAATAATTTCAACAACTATTAAAAGAAGAAAAATTAAAACCAGGCCTTTCCAACTAAAACAGTCAGTGGAAGTTTGAACAAGTTGGTGATCATGGTGATCCTTTACCATCAGCTACTATTCCAGTAAAGATATAGGAAGTAATGGATAGTTGGTTGAAAACGTCAACAAAATGATTTCAAAGTGCTGGTGGGCTAGGCTTCTGAGTGTTCCATTCCACTGACAGAGCTCGATGCAAGTTTTACAGGCTACCAAACTTACTTGGTACCTTTACCAAATACCAAAGCTTACTGATAGGGCTTCCATACGCTCTAGAACTAAACAATAGAGCAGAATCTCACGTCCTCCCCAACAACAAATGCCAACAGTCATTAAAACGTTGCTTCACTGGCATAACTAACAGCTGCAAGTGGAACCTGGCACACAGCCGTTCTAACACTTGTGGTAACTTCATTATGCAAAAGAAAGCTTCAATAAAACTCTAAAATTCTCAGATCCTTAAAACACTGAAGACCAAGTGACCTGCCACTTGTATTAAAAAATGAATAAATGTTACAGACATAGTTAATGTGCGTGAAGAAAAATTTAAGTCTATTTCTTTCAAATGGTTCTGACAGAACACAGGAAAAAGGCTATGGAAAATTGAAAAAACAAGTGCACATTGTTTCCACATGAAACAGAATTTTAAAATGTTTTTCCAGTACTTAGAAGTCTTAGTTTTCCTTTTTAAATATAGGACTGATATGGTTACAATGTATGAATTTTCCTAATGATTTGAGACTGGATTCATTCAAGGGAGTAGGAGAGGGTTGGTTAGTTGGGCTTTTAACTGAAAAAATCCCACTAGAAATGCAGACTTGATTTGACCTACCCAGAGTGGAAAAAGCACCAAAAAGCCCCCTCCCCCAAGACCCACCTCCACCTCTGTTTTTAACTGTCACAGTATTACAAAAAAAATTACATGTACTTTTAGGCTTTATTTTATGGCCCTATGTCTCCTTGGCATCAAAAATTTGACATTTAAAATGTTTTCAGCTGCTTTTATGAATAAACTATTTCCAGGCTGCACATACATCTATGCGTTAAATGAACTTAAATTGAAAATAAATTCTAAGGATGTTAAAGCTCTACACAGAGAAATTGTCGTGACCAAGAGATAAAAGGCTTACACCTAAGAATTGAGGGTATGAAATTTCTTAAATGATCTAAATAAACTATGTTCTTTAATACTAAGCATATCTATCCTAAAACCAAACCAAAGCAAACCAATCCCCAATACCTTGGCATGATGTAAATCCACTCCATACATGGAGAGTCTCTTAGCATTTTCTAGGAACTGGGAATCCGCCTGTGCTGGAGTCAAGCCCCTAAAACCATTGAATAAGCCTTGAGTTTATTGACAAAAGAACTGAGAATCAAAATTGAGTGGAATCCTGGAATTCAGACACATAGAAAAACTGCAGTTTCTAAGGTATCAATAGCATTTTTGCCCCAAAGGGAAAGTGTTCTTTCAGACCATATCATATTCCTTTAGTAGAATATTGCTTAAACTTATTCATATGGTCAGATAAAAATATTTACTTGGAAGTTCTCTTTTGAGATCTTAGTGAAGCTACTCTTTCCACACTGAAATTTTTAAACACACGAAAGTAAGAGCTTCTAGTTACACAGAAAAAGATTTCCAAAGTAACAGTAACTTCAGCTTAGCAGTTTCACACACACTCTTCAGAGAACTGACATAAATATTACAAAGCATGACGATTTCATTTTATCCCACTGCACCTGACACACCTGTGTGTTTTGTGTAGCTCAGCTACCTTCTCCTCCATTTCTGGAGTTTGGTTGGGTGCAAACTGGAACTCGCTGATGTAGTCACTGCGGTGCTCCTCCGGGTCATGATCGCCCAGCTCAGCCTGCAGGGTGTACGAGCCCAGGAGGGCGTGAGTCACAAACGAGCACGGCAGTCGGCCAGAAGCAATGTCCTGACGGAGCTGTAGGCACAAGAAATATCTGCAAGACAGAAGGGGAAAAACAGAACAAAAACAAGAACAGAAAAAGTGTCACCAACGGCACGCTTATGAGAGAAACGGCAGAATTTAGAATCATTGACTCATAGAATCCTTTAGGTTGGAAGGGACCTTTAAGATCATCAAGTCCAACCATTAAGCCAATGCTACTAAGTCCTCTGCTAAAACAGATCAGAATATGTCAGGGCTGGAAGGGACCACAAGGATCCCCCAGTTCCAACCCCTCTGCCATGAGCAGGGACACCTCCCACTAGATCAGGCTGTCTAGAGCCTCATCCAGCCTGGTCTTAAAGACCCCCAGGGATTCTATGATCCTATGGGGCCTCAAACACCTCCCTGGGCAACCCATTCCAGGGTCTCACCACTCTCATGGTGACTGGAAGAGAACTGATGGTTTTAATTTTCTTGAAGTGTGTGTAATCATATAAGCATATTTTAAAATAAGTAAATTCATTAATAGTTTGTTACACCTTACATTATTTGAGCATTATTGCCACAGTGTAAATTTCACTTCCATTTGTAAGAGTTGATATTACTCTCATAAATAATGTGAAGGACGGGAAAAATTCTGATTTCCAGTATAAATGAATGAAAAGTTGTATCTAGTTTGTAACAAAACCTGACTTAGGAATCCCTTCATTTCACATTTCATCCTTCAGGTATCTAAGGTTTACATATAGAACTCCATGTATTTCCTTTGACATTTCCCTTCAGCTTTAAAATTCTAACTTTTATATCCCTTGCAGTTCATAAGGTAATCAAGTAATCAAGGTAAAAGAAATCCAGTTTAGTACTGAACCCATAATTGGATTCCTTAAACCATGTATGTATTAGAATTTAATATTTTCTAAGAACACTGGAAGAGAATAAATGGTTTTAATTATGTGCATAACTATGCATCTGTATATAACTATGTTTTCACCAGTCTAGCCTAGATAGTTACTCAAGGAAGTACCTTGGATCCCTTGAGCATCTCTCTTAGTATCAGTACTAGCACCCTCCTATTTCCTATATAACAAAGCAGCTCCACAACAAAGCACTGGCTTCTCCCAAATACGATCATTTGTATCTGATCTTCCACCCAAATCACATCCCCACTTATCATTAAATTCTTCTTTCTCAGGTTTCTTCCTGAAGTTTTTCGTTTACCTTTTCAACCTTGTTCCAAAAAGCAGCTCATGTAAGAACATTTATAGTGTTCTATACTAACAGCCAACCCATTATGGCATCCAGAAACTGAAGAAGAAATTTCACATGGCCTTCAAATCAGACAAACAGTAATTTTTAAGTTTAAAATTAGGAACTATGCATACCTAGTGATGTCTTCAGTCAACTGTGAAGGATCAGGGGGATAAAACTTGACATTAAAGGTGAATATCCAGGGTAAACCTAAACATGGGAAATGTCTGATTGTTAATCTCAAGTAATTTGATGCAAGCAAAGAAAGAACCTTACTGAAAAATGTTAGACAGTCATATAAATATTAGAGAAATGAAATCTTGATGAAATTTTTTTTTCCCCTCTTTATACAGTATATTAACAAGATGCATGGATTGCTTTCATTATCAGGTACTAACACAGTAAAAGATTAGCATGTTAAAAATTATTTTTATAGAATGTTTTACAGTAAGTTATGTAAATATCAGAAGATGATTTAAATTTGAAAACTATCATAACCTATTAACACTTTTAAGATACTCTGTGTTCAAAGATACTTGCAGTGAATTTGTGTTTACTTCTAACTCCTCCACGGCTCACAGTCTCCTGTTTAAACTGACTAACAGTTTGACAGACTGCACAATAACTACGAATATGAGATGTCAAAATGATGCCTGTGTTGTATGCAACAGAAAGATAATAATTATTCATATTCATATAGAATGCATGGAAGACAAAAAAATATTAGTCATTCCTTTTTAAAAATATTTTTTGAGTAACAATACTTTTAGCAAGTATAATTACAATGACAGTTTAAATTCTCATGTTACAATTGTTAACAACACATGCATTTTTTACCTAGTTTTAAGCACTTTTTTTTTTAATAATCTGACAGAGCATAAAAATGTTGCCTTCAGTCATAGCTCTAGTTTAATACATATTTCCAAGATTTGAAAGCTGAAGTCACTCATCAATAATTAAAATATATTCTCAGAATGTTACTCTGCCAGTATTGTAACACTATGTGCAAGAGGAATACATTCATTGGTAAGTACTAATAACTCCACAAAACGTAGAACTTTACTAATAACTCCACAAAATGTAGAACTTTACTAATTCAAACAGATTTTACTAAATAGAGTGCAGACATACGTAAATTATAGAAAATCCCCAAGAAGAAGTCTAGGAAAATAATTTTATAGTCTTGGTTTTGCATGTTGCTTGAAAGCAAATGCCGTTGAGCTTTATCACATCTTGTAAAACAAAGTAACACTACAATATAGATCTACTAAACATTATGAAGCAAGGTAAGAAAAGAAATAGAAATATTATCAAAACAATTACATAGCCATTTTCATCTTTCTCTCACCTCTTTTCTCCTAATGCAAATAAAATTTTGGTGAAAGACCTAGCATAAATAATCTCTGGTAAATAAAGGTAATTATTTTATAAAGCTTATTAACAATGAATTTTGGACAATACACAGTTTTAGAGGTCTGTCCTACTCAGATAAATCATGCTTTAAAAAATGTGCATTTTAACAACAAAACCAAGACTGAAACGCTATTTCCAACAAAATTCTAGGAAAGAGTCCTGCCATTTTTCTTTAGGTTATTTTCTTTAAAAAAATCCTGTTTTAAAATTTCACTGCTGTTAAAGGTGAAGAGGTACTTTGTAGCAAATTTTCTGATGTCTTTCAACATTTTAATAGTTATTTCAGTTTTTCAGACATGACTATTCCTTGGAGCACTTCAGTTTCTGCTTAAGCGTGAACCTCATTCTCCACCTGGCTGCTAAGTCACTATTTTATTATGAGAGCTCATGGGTTAGTATATCTTAATGTTCCTAGTTATCATTTATTTGTTAGAACAATGACAACTTTACCTACAAAATAAGGCACAAGTCCTTAAATAAGAAAGCCTAATTTATCAGATGTATATACAGTAAAGTATGCCTCACTGCATCATCGACTGCAATCCAGACCAAAACAGAATTAAGATAAAAATATATTTAAAAAACATCTAACACTAATACATATAGCATGCCAAATGTAATTAAAGCTGGAATATTTACTTCATTTATCTCCCAGGGAATTAGCGTCATTTAATGAAAAACTCCTGATACTGAGTAAGCCAAACTAATGAAGAGAAGCAATTGGGCCAGAGTACCTATGCAAACAGTGTTCAGGGGGAGCTGTCCTGTTAACAGGGCTGTGGGACGGGGAGAGATGGATGAAGGATGTGTCCTTCCACACAGGTAATAAACCAGTCTTCAAGTTTTCCTGGAATGAAGCAATGTTTCCTGGTGCAAAATAGTTTCTCCTGGTCTAAAACTGCAGTTAAACT